ATATATATCATCACCATACTTAATAAAAACCTCTCGTACATACCACATGACACTCTTTTAAGCCATCACTATGCCACGTGTCACTACCACAAAAAATGTTTGACTAATTTTTCCGCCCATGGATTGCTGCGATTGTCAATTAATCACCTCCTAAGATTAAGCAAATTAGTTTTAATATCCAAAATTAAACTCTATTGAAAATACTTTTTATATATTTAAACACATATATAAATGGTATCCAAGAAATCAACTCCATTCCGGTAAACACAACAATTAATATTTAATCATCGAGAATTTTTGACGTTTGAATTGTTTATTAGCAAAGATCTGAACCAATTTCATTCAAATCCGCTCATTTACGTTTGAATTGTTTATCAACGCTTAATATTTATCCAAGAAATCGGCGTTGTTGATCTCCTTGCTTCTTCAATAAGGGCTATATCAGACAAAAATTGATACAAATCCAAACAATAGGAAGATGTAAATGAAAATATAGGGACGAGCCATGATTCTGAGTAATTTACACTTTCAAAAGCAACCCATTAGTTTTGAAGAACGCGATCATGCTTTGAATGCTATGTTCATCAGTTTTTGTATATATATCTGACGTTAGTCTGTTACAATTTAATTTTATCTGTTCTATTTCCATTTCCCCCTAATTTTTCTCTGTTTGTTTTGCCCTATCTCCCAATTCCCATTTCCGTACGATAATTTTGATTACTTTATCTCCCACACCCATCTTTTTCCGATCACGAACTGTTTGAATCCTGGGGTTTAATTGTTACAAAGTGTGTCTGATTTTTTATTAAATTTTTTCAAATCATAGAAGTTGTAAGGCGATTGAGAATTCAAACAGATGGGAAAGAAGATGGAACTGCCATGGCGGGTTCGATGCCCTATCCAGATCGTCCTGGCGAACCCGATTGTATATTTTGTTTAAGAACCGGCTTGTGTGGCTATGGAAACATTTGTAGGTTTAATCATCCAACCCACATTGGTCAGGTAATAAAAAAAAACCCTTTTATTTTTTCTCAATCGGAATAAAACGATTGTTGCTCTTCATGTCTGAAATTCGATTCTTAATCAGGCCAATCAACTTCAACTTGGAGGCGAGCTTCCAGAAAGAGTTGAAGAACCAGACTGTGTGATAAGTCTCTTCTCCATCATGTTGACGATGATAGTTAGGGACAATTAAGTAATTTCACATCTTTTTTTTCAGTATTTTCTAAAGACGGGTACTTGCAAATATGGATCAACCTGCAAATACAATCATCCTCGTGATAGGAGAGGTGCTGGACCAGTGGTGTTAAACATGGTTGGGTTACCTATGAGATAGGTTGCTATTTACTAATCTTGATTTTCAATTTCTATTTTTCTTTAAAATGATAGTTTAAACTAACTTATAAACACTTAATTAGGAAGAAAAAGCTTGTGCACATTACATTCTAACTGGATCTTGTAAATTTGGAGTGGCATGCAATTTTCATCATCCACAGCCATCAATGGATGGATCTAACATTCAATTGTCATATTACAACCACAGCATTGAACAGCCCTATTCCTCTGGTTCTACTAATCTGCCCGAACGGCCCGGGGAACCAGAATGTCGTTATTTTATGCGCACTGGAAACTGCAGATACGGATCAGACTGCAAATATCATCACCCAAAGGAAAAGATTGCTCAACTTGCTGCTAGCTCTTTGGGCCCACTTGGCCTTCCACTAAGACATGTAAGTATAAAACGGGTCGACCTATTTACATGATATTGGATAAACTGGTCGATTTTTCATTAGCTTTATCTTATTTTACTTGAATGCAAATGCAGGGGCAAGCAGTGTGTTCATATTATAGTCTTTATGGAATCTGCAAGTTTGGGCCAACTTATAAATATGATCACCCTTTGATGGGGTACTCATACAACTACAACATGAGTCTACCTAATGCTAATGCTAATGCTAATGCATCATCTTTGTTCCCATATGGAGGGGTGAATTCGTCAACACTTCATTCTTCAGGATCTTCCCCGTCAAAGTCATCTAAAAATGAAGGTACTAAAACCCCAGGAGGTGGTTCACCTTCACCTTCGCCTCAACGTGCTGCATCTCCATCACATTTAGAGTGATTGGTTTTGTTTAGAATTGAGTTGTGTGTTTTGAGAGATGATGATTTTTATGAGGGCTTTGTTTTTGGTTCTGAATAAAATTATGCAGATGAGGAAAAATGTTACTTTTACTGCTATTACTTTTACATTTTTATCCGGTATGAACTGTTTTTTTTGTTGTTTTTTTATGGATGATTTTGTTAATTTTATGAGTGGTGATGCCATTTTTGTTCTACTATTTTATTCGTTACCCTTTTTTTTATGGTAATGACATTAGTTATGCTGTGGACTATTTAATGGGTTGTTTCTTTTTGACACCTTTTAATTTCAACAACTATATATGAATTAGTAGGGGTGAGCATGAGTCAGTTTTGAGAAAAAACCGAGCGCAAACCGCAATTTTTTATTGTTTTTTTTTTATTATTTTTTTTTTGTGTGTGATTTTAAAAAGTATTCGATTTCGGTTCAAATTTTTGGTTATTTAAGTTTGGGTTTTTGGTTTTTCTGTTTGAACATGTGGGTACGGTCTATAATATTAGTATGATATTGATGCATTATTGTTCACAGATCTAACTTCATGAATTGCAAGTTCAGTTGACTAATTAATGGGCTAGCAATGTGTTTTATAATTTTGAAGATCTTATTTGGGAAATACATTGCCAATTACTAATTTTGCCCTCTTTTGATGTAGGTAACTACAAGTCTACAACTATTGTTCGGATGACGTAAAACCCATGCATGATTATTTATTATGGATTATGAAATTTATGAATAAGAGTTGTTTGTTAAAATGCTTATACGAATTGCTGGTCAAACAATTTTGGTTGACATGGTTTTTTCGTTTCGGTTACTAATTTTTTTAATCTTATTTTTGTTATAGATATTTTCAATAGTCTATTTGAGTTTAACATCTTAGTGTCATAAATTTCCCTGTTATGTGTACCATTTATATAGCAACATACTTATATTTATTAACCGGAATATCAACATACTTATATTTTTGACAGAAATTACAATGTACGTATATTTATTGAGTAAAAGAACAAACTACTTACAGAATTTGAAGTACAATGTTATTAACTAAATTATTATTATTTATGATTAAGACTATATTTAAATTTATCACCCCGTGTAGTACACGGGTTATAACCTAGTATAATAATAAATTCGTCTTCAGTTATAGATGGTTTATTTCGGTAACCATTAAAAATATTTTAAAATTATTTATATTTTGAATACATACATCATTATTTCCACCAATCTCTTAATAATAATCTCGTAATAACAATTCCTATAAATATTCTAACATTTGCGTTATGCAGTTTACATGTCCCATTTTCTCATAGATCCTCTGCACAAATTCAAGAAAAAGAGGCCAACCTTCCCATCAATTTTCTTCGTCATAACCGGTGTATGTCCTTTTTCGTTAAAGCCTTTTAATCTATTCATATTTATATTGAATTATATAAAATCATAATTTATTAAATGTCTACACATACAAAATACAAAATGTATATTGAATATTCAAAATAATGTATATATTAATTTAACTAATAAACAAAATTTATATCTTTGTAATTTAATAAAAAAATTATAAATCTTTGATTTTTCATTACTACTTTAAGTTATTAATAGTGTTTTGTTTTATTAATAGTGGTTTCCACGAGTTTTAACCTATTATACATATAGAAGTAGGTTCCGTTGAAATTATGAAAAAATAGAGATATTGAGATCTAACCTCATTCACATATTTCTAATTTCCGTTCTAGCATTCCAGTGTACTGGTGCGACGTCTCCTTATAAGGGATATGGATACCTTCCTTGTCACAACGCGTTTTAAAGTCGTAAGGGAAGCAGATCCTATAAGAACTCTGCAGTTAAGCGTGCTAGGGCGAGAGTAGTATCGGGATGGGTGACCCCCTGGGAAGTCCTCGTGCCGAGAGGCACAAAGCGGACAGACAATATTGTGATACGTGTCAGAGGGGGATGTTACAAATGGTATCAGAGCTGGGGCACGGGTCGATGTGTTCGACGAGGACGTCGAACCCTATAATGGGGGGTGAAGGTGGGTTGCACCTAATCACACATCGGCTTGGAAGGAGAACGAAACATTTTCTTATAAGGGATGTGGATACCTTTCTTGTCACAACGTGTTTTAAAGTCGTGAGGGAAGCAGATCCCATAAGAACTCTGCTGTTAAGTGTGCTCGGGCGGGAGTAGTACCGGGATGGGTGACCCCCTAGGAAGTCCTCGTACCGAGAGGCCCAAAGCGGACAATATTATGATACGTGCCAGAGGGGGATGTTACAATAACAAAATTTAATAATTCTAACCCAAAGAGCACCCGAATCATTAAGAAATCGCCACTTCCATTTATAAAGAAGAGCTAAGTTAAAAGCATCCAAACTACCAACCCCCATACCTCCCTGCGCATAGGAATTTAAAATCAAATTCCAATTAACCCAATGAATTCGATTTTGTCCTTGTTCAATACCCCAAAAAACCGAGCCCTTAAGGCATGAAGATGACGGCACACAGTGACAGGAAGAAGAAAAATAAAGAGGAAAAAAATACCCAAACTCCCCAAAACAGATTTAATAAGAGTCAACCAGCCTCCAATGGACAACAACTTCACCTTCCAAGAAGCTAACCACTTCTTAAATCGATCAATAATAACTTGCCATCCTTTAATACGCACCATAGACTCTCCAACCGGAATACCAATATAGACAAAAGGAAAAACACCAGCCGAACACCCAGTAAAAGAAACTAAGGTAGCTACCTCCAACGAATTGACTCCCACACCAAAAAACTTTGATTTAGTGAGATTAAGATTAAGGCCCGACACCAAATAGAAGCATCTCAAAATACGAATCAAATTCTGGATATTAGAAGCATCCCATTCCCATAAGAAAATAGCATCATTTGCATAAAAACAAATGAGAAATAAGAACATCATTAGATCCCAAAGGGGCACCCCGGAACACCCCTTCTGCAACCGCATCCTCTACCGCAATATGAAGACCTTCCATAGCTATAATAAACAAAAAAGGAGAAAGAGGATCCCCTTGTCTTAGACCTCTGAAAAGTTGAAACTCATCCGTAGGATTTCCATTAATCAACACAGAAGATCTAGCATTTGAAAACATACCCCGAATCCAACCTCTCCATTTCTCACCAAACCCGAGAAACAAAAGAATCCTATCCAGATACTCCCAGCTCACCGAATCATAAGCCTTTTCAAAATCAACCTTAAAAATCATAAGTTTTTTCTTCTTCTTCTTAAACCACCTAACCAACTCGTTCACCACCAGCGGACCATCTAAAATTTGCCTAGATTTAAGGAAAGCAGACTGTTTCATCCCTATAACATCATGTAACACCGGAGCTAACCTATTAGTCAACAATTTAACAATAATCTTAAATTGCAAACCGATAAGGCTAATAGGGCAATAATCGTTAATATGAATCGGATTAGCAACTTTTGGAATCAATGTAACAAACGAAGAGTTACACCCCACCGGGAACTTCGGTTTATCAAAAAATTCTTGAACAAAAGCAATAACATCACCAGCAAGGATCTCCCAAAAGTGTCTAAGAAACCAAAAAGTGAAACCATCTGGACTAGGGGCACGATCCACTCCACAATCCCAAACAACATTTTTAATCTCATCATCCGTGAACACGACTTCAAGAGAAGAAGCAACTCTCGGATAAAGGGACTTGAATCTATGGCTTCTCCGATCCAAACTAGCGCCTCAGAACGGATGAAATTTTGCTGCATAGAAGTCATAAAATGCCTTTTTCACCCTAGAAGGCTCCAAAATCCACTCCCCATCAATAGACACACCTCTAATCATCAATTGACGTCGTCTTTTTTTCAATAAGGCATGGAAAAACGCAGAATTCTCATCACCCTCCACAGCCCAGGTTGATCTGACCTTTTCAATAAGACCATTCTCCTCAATGAAATCATTAAAAGACATAGCTGAGCTAGGACAAAAATCAGAGCCAAATCTTTCCGCCGCCTTTCTAACGACATTAAAATCCCCAAAGAATACATAATTACCTCCATTCCTCCTCATAAAAACCGAGAGGTGCCCCCATAAATGTTGCTTTCCCACTAAATCTTGAGGAGCATAAATATTAACCATAAAACAATTGAGATTAAAAGGGATCCACAAGCCTCTCACAATAACCACATTACTAGTACAAGTAACACTACTTTTAACAAACATATTTGGATCCCAAACTGAGAGAATACCACCTGATCGTCCTCGTGCACAACTAGTAGCAAAATCAAAACTATAATTGCCCCACATACTACGAATCTTGAACAAATCAACTTGAGTCATTCTCGTTTCTTGCAAACCCAAAAAAGACACTCCAAACTGCAACCATAACGCCTTAACCCAACTTCTTTTTAAGAAAGTTCGGGTACCACAAATATTCAATGAAAGATAATTTATTGATTGTCACACCCCCCAAACCAGAACGGCGGAAACGTTTGGGGGCGGAGGACGTCATATTCAGTATCATAACAACTGAATAGTAAAGAAAGTACACACCACCATAACATATATATTTGAAAAGTTTACATGATTGTAAGTGTTACATGTTTGAATATCAAATATAATATGGTGATCCAAAAATATGTTACTAACGTCAGCGCGTTAGTCTTCAAAAGTAGTTGCTACCTGGCTTAACGATTTCCTGAGAATACAAGTTGTTTCAAAGAAAAAGTGTCAACATTTAAGTTGGTGAGTTCATAAGTATATGTTTGTATAAATATATGCCATTCGAAAGTTTCGTGTTTGTTTTCCAGAAAATCCGATATTTCCTCATAAAAGGAGTTATAAATCTTTGTTTGTATATAATATGAATGTATAGAACCAGGAAAAACCTATATTTTCCTAACAGTGGAGAGTAGTCTCAAATGTCCAAGACTAT